ACAGCAGTTTTTATTTTCTTTATTTTTATTTTTATTTTATTTATTTATTTATCAATCAATCAATCAATCATCACCGCCCATCTCGTGAAACGACTCTGAGTGGTTTACAACAAGATAAAAATTCATTAAAATACAACATAAAAACAATCCTAAAAATAAGTAAGTTCCAAGAAGATAGAACCTTGGCAACTTTAAGATGTGTGGACTTCAACTCCTAGCATTCCTCAGCCAGCAACAGTTGTCAAGGTTGAGAAACACTGCCTTATACAGATAGTTGTCTTAACACAAGCCCTGCTATGCGCTGTGGTTAAAATAGCAGGGCTGTGCATTGTTTTGAATGTGAAGGGGAAAGTCTGCTTCAGAGCAGGTGGATGCATGTGCAGCACCGCTTGGCAACTCCTTAGACAAATGTCAACATTTCCTGGGATCACATTGTAGCTGCAGAGGGCAGCTGCTTTCAGGAGCTGCTGACAACTGGTAGCTCTGAAGTACTTTTTTCCCTTCAAATCTGAAACTCTGCACGTTGGTATTGGTTTTATGCATCATACACAAGTTTGGGCCTATACAAACTATGGTACTAGAGCATCCTAAAGCTTAGCTTTAGCATTACATCAGTCTCAGCATTTCAGTTTCCTAACATGTGTTCTGAAGATTATTCCTTGGCCAGGGATTTCAAGGCCTTTTGGACGTGTCCTAAATGTGTCAAGTAGACATCTTGTTGATGAGAGATGGACGTATGCCTTTCCATCAGGTAGAATTCTGTGTCCCTTATCCCTAAAACACACAGCTGTCAGTTCCCCAAACCTTGTTTCAAAGCAAATGCTTTAAGACACCAAAGACCTCTGTTACCCTGCATCTTCAAACTGGCCTCATGTAGTTCTGTACATTGATTAATGGCTCTACCTGTGCTGTAATCCCTTTAAAGTCCCCTGTGCTGGTGCACCATACATGGAACTTGGCTGTCAGAGTCTAAAAATGAAATCTGAGGGGAAGGAGGGGAGAGGTCTTGCAACAACCTGCATCTCTGGTTCTTTTGTCTCATCATCAGTTTCCTAGATCTTTCTCTCTAAAGTTAGAATTATCAGTTACTACAGGGTCCAGTATATCCCTCCACTTCTCACTACTCTGCATGGGTTGCCTGCTTCTTCCTTTCCCTTCAGAGAATAAGCAGAAACTCCCTTCTCCCTTAATCCCTTTTTTTCTCAATCTTTAATTTTAAAAATACTGAATGGATTTATTTTGTATTTATCTTCTAGTTCTCAAACTGACTCCTGCTTGGTCTTTCTAAATTGCTGGGACCCATGGCAACTACTTCACGAGGACTGCTGACCATGAAAATTGTTCTCATGGTTAATTACTTCTGTATGTCACACCAGGGAACTCTGTGCTCTACAGATCAGTGAACCTTACATTATTTCACACAAGGAAAGTTATACACATGCCAGAAAACTCAGCACCTTTTTGTCATGAAGACCTCAAAGCTCTATGCCTTTCATGCTGGGCGGTGGCTTACCTCATAGCTCCATCAGAGTTTAAAGGGCTGCTTTTATGTCTGCGGCCACTGCCAGAGGACTACCCATGCAGGACACTCACAGAGCTTTCTTGGATCCTGTCCACCCAACATTACTGCTTGGATGTCTGATGCAGCTTTTCACAAGGCAGTTCACTGTTCTGTGCTATTGCAGACCACTCACTTACCTCTGTACGATACACTTTCTGTTCTCTAATACATGTCATGCAGAGACGCGTGAAGAATGACAGTTCATTTTTCTGTAACTGCAGTTCCTTTAAGTAATTAGCTGCACATTCACACAACCGTCCCTTTGAGCCTCTTTGTGGTGATCTATTTTTTAAAATTATTGCCTCAAGGTCCTTGGCTCTACTCTCTGAATGGGCATGTGTAATTCGGAAGAGCAGCCCAATCAAATAGTCAACTTTACAATGTTCTAGAGCTGCAGACTTTGCAGGCACAAATCTGTATATTTGAACGTACTGGTTAGAGGTACACAATTAGTCATTGTTATTTCCTCTACACAGGATTCACGATTACCTGTATTTATTCTTCACATGATTTTCACTATCATCACAGAAACCTTATTAGAATCAAGGTTATTACATTCTATATGCATTCATGCACGGTTCAGTGTGATTACAGAAATCAACATTTAAACAACAGTTGCAACAAGCATTGCCTTGCTTACATTTGAAGATTTATTTTATTTAGCCTGCTTTCTCCTACAGTCAAGATTATTAAGATTATTAATACTACAAATAAAAGCAAATATTTAATGCACTGTAACAGTAGTTTAGCAATCTGTACCATGGATGTTTTCATCATATAGCAGTTCATCCAAACAACATTCAAATCTGAACTGGCACAAGTATTCACCTACTTTGTACATTATGTTTCCTTCTTCAATTAACTTCTGTAGAAGGATAATCAGAATATCAGGTTTTGAAGTAGCCATGGCCCATGCTGCATTTCCTGAAATAAAAAAAATTAACACTTAAATGCATTCTCAATATTTCAAATGATTGACAACCCCTATATTGTCATGTAACTCAACAGTGCCTCTAAGTTGGCTACATCAAGAGTGCTTTTTGTTCCCCAATTTTTATCCAAATCTGAAACTCTTCTGTACAATTGTTTGTCTGGCTAGAACAAACCAGCTCTTTTATAAATGAAGAAGAAAGCTATTAAGAAAGCAATCTCAGCTGTTAGGCAGTTTTTGAATTTTCTGGCTAAATCTTGACATGAAAAAGGAAAGTTGCCTTGCAAGTAGACCAACAGTTTCCACAAAGAGGCTGGCTATTAGTGATCTAAGAGTCCCATGAAAAGTGAGATGTTTTAGTCCATCTTCAAACAATGTCAGAAGCCTTGCTGCTCTCAGACCAACATCTCTGAAATGAATTCTGCAGGCTCTGAAACTTAAGGTCCCATTGAACAGATTACATGTACTGGACTATATTAGCTCGCCTTGCTGTTTTTTGGATTTCTATGTATGTCACCACAGCTATCTCTTGTTCTATTTTTACTTTTCTCAAATTCATTCATTTAAAAATCTGGGTGTATTTTGGATGTATTGTTTAAAACAGCACACGACACATTCTTAGGATTTTCACAAGGTTTTGTTAAGCCTGTGTTTTGGGGACTGAAAAGGGCAATCCAGATTTCTTTGTTTTGACACTTGGACTGGAGAGTGCCTCTTGGCTTGTAAGTACCTAACTGTGTTTGCCGACTTAGTGCTTGTGGACGTGTGGAAACATCTCTCCTGAACCCACATGAACTTGCCTTGTGTGTTCTTCCTAAGAAGAACTGGTCCCCACCTCACTGCCCTGGGTAGTGGGAAGCAAAGGCAGCCCAGAAAAATGGCAATAGGCAAACAAACAAATCTGCCTCACCCTGGAGATGGTGTGGAGGTATTGACCCAGAGTCAGGAGGGACTGGGTGAGAAGACACAGGTTGAAGGTAAACCCAAGCAAGCTGGATGTGTTGTCAGGAACCATCTGCTTCTTTACTTGTCCCAGTGATTATGGGTGTTAGCAATAAAAGGATTGCCTTGAGTTAATCAAATCAGGTCAGACTACTGTTTTTATTGATCTGTTGGTCCTGATTGCTTTGAGTCCTTTGTTGAAGCGGGCAGTCTACAAATAGGTGTATAAATAACTTAATACAGTGGTACCTCGGTTCACGAACTTAATTCGTCCCGCGACTCTGGTCGCAACCCGAATTGGTCGCGACCCGAAT